AATTAAATAACATCATTTGAGGGAGGTCGCATAAATATGACTGTACTATTCAATCCTCTCAAAGGCAAAAATTTTCCTGTGAGTCACCATTTCTTTGTCTCTTGCAGCTAACCAATCCCTTCCCTTCTTCTAGTGCAGTTTTTCCATTGAAGTTAAACTCATTATGACTTCCTCTAGATGAGCCTTTTGTGATCCATCTTTTCTCTCAGGTTTCTCCCTGGTTTCTTTTCTGCCTGCTGCTTTGCAAGTGCATCTTTTGTGCCTCTAGCTGGACATAACTCCTTGCTCCAACCCCTGCTCCTCACAAAAGAGGGACATGCTTCCCTCGCTGCCTCAGCAACACAGCCTATTCCCACAGGCCAAGCAGCTGTGGCCAAGGTCAGTCCTCTGCACTTACAGGAGTACTGATGTGTGTTTAAGTTACTTACATGCTAATATATCTAGCAAGAATTTGAAAAATATTAGTAGGTATCTTTGAGGCTGGAAAGATCTACCAGATGCAAGATTCAACAACATAGAATCAGCCATGAGAGACAAGTGAAGTCTTCACTAGCAGGATCAAAGAAAAGTGTCTGTATTATATGGCAGCTGCCAGAAATGATTCCTGTACTTCTGCAAGAATGCTGGGAAAATATTAGCTCTTGTGTATGTAGAAACACCAAAGATCACCTTAATGAAGGACAAATTAACTAGTTCAGCTTTAACACACCTTTTTTATGAAACAAACTCAGAACACCAATCACAGCTTATTAGTGTTGCAATTAAAACCTTAAATACAAAGATCTTCTAGCAACTCACATTTCCCCCCTTGCTTTGGCTGGAACTTTTCCTCATTTATTGATACATCTTTTTCCAACCTTTCTGATTTCCTTCCACTGAAGTCATACCATGAGAGCTAAGGGGCAACATGAGCTCACAGAAGGAAGATACAAAAAAAGATCATTAGGCATTCAGGACTTACCCATTTAAAGATGGGAATGCAAATCACAAGATTTTAATAGACTGTTTATATCCTAAAAATCTACTTTCTCTTAAAGCTAAAGGATAGATAAATACAAATATAAATACAAACATAAATCTCTCAGGTGTAATTCCATATCCAGGATAAGACAGTAACCCAAAATTGTTCTTCTAAACCTAAGAATTTCTCAGATGGAAAGTGATCTTAAAACAAGCCCTAGATTCTTGACACAATACTAGATTCTTGACTTAATGACCAGTCTAGCATGAACACCTGGAGGCCCGAGACCACTTCCAGGTGTCTTAAGTCCTCTGCAATCCCTTGCTCAAGAGGCCCTATTGACCAGGGCCCTCTCTTCCACTCTAAATGCAGTTTTACAGGCCACAATCAACACCACAGACTCTGTAGGAATAGCTACTAGACTAAAGGCCTCAAAAAAATAAGGAAAATAAATAAACATGAGTAAAGCCCAAGAAGCTACACAACAACATTCTGTTTTCAAAGGCAGGGTAATTAGGAAGAGGAACAAAGGCCGCATCCTGCAGCTCAGTTTTAGTTTCCTATCTCTTCTTTATCTGTTTTCATATTTTAACACAGTAACACCTACTTAATTCTTGTGCAGACACACGTTACAGAAGTTCTATAGGCTCTGGGCCTCTCAGTGCTCCTGGACATGTCAGACTTGTTACCTCCAGGATAAATACACCTTTCTGTCTGCTTTAAAAACTCTGTTGCAACTTCTTCAGTAGTGCACAGAATCCCAGAATCACAGACTGGTTTAGATTGGAAGGGACCTTAACCACCATCCAATTCCACCCCCCTGTCAAGGAGGGGAACCTTCCACTACACAAGGTTGCTCCAAATCTCATCCAGCCTGACCTTAAACATTTCCAGGGATGGGGAAGCCACCACTATGCTGTATTTCTTTGTCAAGACTGTAACAACATTCCCATATGGGTTCAATGGGAACACTTGCCAGTCTTGTTATTTCACTCTGAGGTTTATTTTATAAGCTCTGCACAACATAGGCCTGAGGATTTCCTTTGTAGAATTCTTGAATACAAAACAAAGTTGAACCACAAGCGATTCTTTTCAAAGAGAGACATTTTCACATAAATATGATACTCTACAGAAACCCACCATTCAAATTGTCAAAAGCCTTCCAGCTATGGTAAGTGAACAATTCATTCATAAGGGGAGGTTTAGACTGGATACTGGGAAGCTGCACATGCTACCCATCAGTCACCACCCCTGGAAGCATTCAAGATGTATGGGCATGGCACCTGGGGAATGGCTCAGTGGTGAATGCAGCAGTGTTGAGTGAATGGTTGGACTTGTTGATGTTGGAGGTCTTTTCCATCATAAATGATCCTATGATTCTAACCACACACCTGCATTCAGTTTGAACGTTCTGGACTGGTCCCAGTGCCATTGACTACTCTGACCATCTGACCGGTAGTGATTGGATGAATTACCCAAATTTTCACAGCAGCACAATCCTAACTGCATTTGTACCAGCTTAACAAGCTCCTATATACAAAGAGAATATATGCTTTGGAAAAGGCAGTATCACCCAAAATACTGTAACCAGTGAAACATTCCGTTTTTCCTCAAAAAGGTGCAAACTGTACAGTTTTCCTTGTCTGGGATGGCTCCCACTCAGATAACCAGCCATGGAAAGCCCAAGGTTACAAAGCTCTCTTTTAAGAGACCATACTACCTGCAGAGATGGCTTAATGTTTAATGGAAAAAGACCAGCTACTTGACTAAGTAACTACTTAAGCCTGACTATTTAACCTACCAAAATCAAGTTATTATTGTTACCATTACGCCGTGCAACAACAACATTATGATCCAATTCTAGCTCAAGGGGAAGCCTCCCTCATTAGTGAGACTAATGAAAAAGTAGGGACCATAATAACCTTCAAAGTCATAAGAAGATATGTCAACTTTTTCATCCTATCAAGCAAAAGCAGGGCAGAGGTGAAAAAGAAACCAAGAGAAAAAAACCAGCCTAACTTGCAACAAAGGTGGAGACAGGAGCGTGTATCACACTACCAGCTGTGGACACACCAGAATGATCTACATAGAACAAACAGGAGCAATCTTTAACTGTTTCCTTTAGAATCTAGTTGGAAAACTGTCCTTTGAGAATGATCCGGACTTTGCAGCAGTGGCAAATCTCAGGCTGGCTGGTTACACTGCCTCTGCCACCCTGCAGTCACATTCCACCAGTTACTTTCATATCTAGTGAGAGCTTTTCCTGTGCCTGTCATTCTGATCCTGGTGAAACTGTACTTTATGAAAAAGGTTGTGTGCTTTTGTTGTGGATGGCTCTGCCTATAATTTGGGCCATGCTTTATGAAAATCCATGTACAAATAGAGGACTGTTTTTTTTTTCAACAGTTCGAATCTAAACAGGCAAAGGGTTAGAGACACAGAGGTTTAGCAGATACACAGCCACAGATCAGGTTTCCTGCTTCACCTCTGATATATATGTTCCTTTACTATGGAGAGGGATAACCAACCCACATATTAAACAATACCCAAAATATCACTTCTAAGTCAGGTTTGGAAAAAAAACCAAAAAAACAAACACAAACCATACTACTATCTGTTGTCTTCTAATTGAAGACAGTTGTCAGAATAGAACCAGTAGGAAAAATGGAAACTAAATCACCAGGCAGATTCTTCACTTACCTAACTGAACAGCAAACATGTGATAAAGCAACACAGCACAGATGAGTGTGCAGATTTTTCACTGTCATTACACAACAGGATAAGACAAGAAATTATTCTTTCAAACACCTTGAAACTGAATGTCATTAATCTTAACTTCACAGACACAGAACTGAGAATGTTTCAAATCCTAAACCTGGTAAATTCAAGGCCCTTTCCTCATCTTACAAGTTAACTGATCTCTATATTGCAATCATTCCCAACATAATATCCTCGCTTGCAACTTGTCTTTCAGTGGAAGAAATTATTCTTATTATAAAACCTCCCCTACTGTTTGGGGAAAGCCATCATGGGAAGTGCTACTTATCATGAGCCATATCAGCTATAGCTCAAGAATCATCAGTGCCCCGTGGTTAACCCTCTTCAGGGCTGCTGAATCATCCTGGTCTATAAAAAACCCGAAATAAAACCACACTGCAGGCATAGAGAGCAAGTCAGCAGAGGCTGAATCTCCCCTCGTATCATGCACAGAGGCGGCTAACGCTACCTGCAGTGTTAGAGGTGAGGCCAAAACCCTCCCCCATCGCGGGCCATGGCGCAGCCTCAGCTTTAGGGACCAGGAGCAGTGGGAATGGAGACTACTGCACTTCGAGAGCCCAAAGCAGTAGGAGCCCGGGGGCACAGGGCAGGACCCACCACCAGCCGAAGGTGGGGGAAGGCGACCGCTTCCTCAGCCGCATCCCTCAGCGGCGGCGCAGGCCCAGCCGCAGCCGACCCGCCGCCGGGGAAAGAAGGGCGACTTGACTCATGGCTTTTGTCTGCTCCTGAGCGGCCCTGGAGCGCTCCCCGCCTCCAGGGCAGCGCTGGCGGCGGAGCGGGACCTCGGGCGGCGGAGCGGGGCGCCGGGGCGGCCCCTGCGGCCCGGCTCGGTGCGGGGTGCGCCGGCGGCACGTGGCCCGCGCTGCGCCAATGGCAGCGGCCGCGACCATAGAGCGGGGCCGGGCGCTCACTGCACATCCCGCCCGCCGCCCTTCTCGCCGCTGCCGCCATCTTGCTGCAGGCGACAGACCGCGCCCGGCCTCGGCGCCGGGCCCACGCCTTCCTCCCCCTCACCTGAGGCGCTCCTGCTCCCGCCCTCCCGCACCGGGCCCGGCATTACCTCTAGTCGGCCCGCAGCGAAGCCTATGCTGGGTACGAGGCCGACGACCCGGCCGCCATCTTGGTGCAGCACAGGGGATGTGCGTGACCTACAACATGCGGTAGCCCCGCCCCCTCCCAGCGGGTTGCTATGGGTGATGGGACGCGCGCATGCGTGCGGAGCCCGGCACCGCCCGGAGGCGGGGCCTGGGGCGGGGCGGCACCGCCCTCTCCCCCGGCCATGCGCGCGCGGGAGCGGAGCCCGGAGCTGGCGGCTGAGGGAGGCGCGAATCGAGCTGAGCTGAGGTGAGGGGCTCTGCCGCGCCCTGCCCCGGGGGACTGTGGGGTCTATGTGCGCGGCGGTAAAGGGACCGGGAATGAGGGGAGGTGGCGGACAGGAGCGCTGGGAAAGGGTCTGTTCTTTTCAGCCGCTTACACGGACCCCCGACCCTGAGGAGTTTGGTTGCGTTTGGGTGATGCTGGTGAGGAGGGAGCGGGACGATGGGCGCTGCCGGTGGTGCCAGGGAGGTGAGGCGCCCTGGCCGCCCGCCCAGCGAGGGACCTGGTGCTTGTATGGGCCGCCATGGGACTCCCGGGCGGGGGCCGCGGAGGAGCGGGGCCCCTCCTACAGCGGGAAAGGCAGTCGCTTCTGAACACGCTCTCATAGAAAACTCCAGGCGCGCTGTTGAAACCGGAGGATGAGGAACGTGACCGACCAGCTCCCGAGGAACATCTGGGCTGCTTTGAGGCACCCGAACCCCGAGCGCAACCCTAAGCCCCCCGTGCGATGCCGGGTTGAGGTCGGACGGGGCCTTGGCCTTCGGGTTCGGGTGTGCTCCTGCCTGTGTGGGAGCGCTGAGACCTGACGGGAACGCGGTGGGAAAGAGCATTAGTGCATGATTTCTGTGCTTGGTTCCTATGTTAAAATACAATTTAGCTGTAGCCGTCTGCATAACTCTGCTCGCTGCTTCGTTTCTCAGTAGCTGTGAGAAACTTTGCTCTTAGCCCGCGTCTGGAAATAGTTGGGTGACAGACAAGTCTCACAAATTAAAAGAATGTTCCTCTGTGTTGCAGCAGGATCTAGTTTTGTTTGGCATTGAAAACCTCTCATGGAGAATGCTTAAGTAGGAATCAATGACATCACTGGACAGGAAACACTCTTGGAAGGAAGAGTTGCTATCAGCGCAGTCTTACATGATAAAAGGATCACGGATAAGTTCTTCACTAGCTGAATGCACCATAGGCATTCAGACTGTTTCATGTTTCATGAAACACAGATGTTGCAGATACTAGATTTTACTTTTATCTTGCAACTTCCCTTGAGAAACATGTTATCCAGTTTTTATTTCATGTAAGTAACCAAGGTGCCAGATTTTTCTCAGCAAATTTGGCTTCGTGAGAAAGGACACCAAATTGCTTCAGTGTTTAACATCTTCAGTTTGTAACTCACATCAAACCCAAATGAGGTTAAAATTGTGTAAACATTCACCTGTATAGTAGCTTTGAGAAGAAAATCCTGGAAATCATCCCCACATTGAAACAACCTTATCTCGTGCCTGACACAGAAAGTTTGGCTTCTGCTGTCTAACGCTGGGGCAATTTGTTTTGATTCCAAGATGTCTCTGCTGGGAGGAACAGACTGAGGGGTGCTGCAAACCGAAGCAGTTTGGTGTAATTTCACACAAAGCTGAACTTGCTGACAAAATCTGCTTGGAAGATGGAAAGAATTGGGTCGTGATAATTTCAAATCTGTAGAATTAAAGTATGAGTGAGCTAGGTAAGAGGTGACTGTGGGCTTTGGGAGTGGGAACAGGTTCCTTGTGCTAAGAGAGTGAGCCAGGGGAGGGACTAGAAAGGGGAATTGAGCTCTTATCACTTGCAGATACAGCATATGCTGTCATTTTTATGTTGCCACAGTAAATCACAATCTTTTGAAATCATGCACGTTAGTGGCTGGTGAGTCTTTGTTACGAGACATTTTTGCATAGAAATGTTAGATAAGAAATATTTTAAAAAATTTTTTTTTTGTGCCTGACTTTTATATTTCACATGCAGCTAGCTACATATGGAAATTTTATATTGGTAAACAGAAGGTAGAATAGCTGAGTTTGAAGCATCTAGATAAAAGAGGAAGAGAAAAAGTTTCATTTTGAAGCTTTTAGCTCTTTACAAAACACTTGAGCATGGGTGGAAATGTTGAGGAGAAAGAGGCTTGAAAAAAAATAATACATGAGTTAAGGGGTTTTTTTGGCTTTGAAGAAACTGTTTCCTCTAAAGGGCAAGGTGTTTTTTAGCAAGGTGTTTGGTTTGGTTAGTTTCCGGAAAGGATGTGGACTTTCAAGGCTGCAGAATGGTTTGTCATGTATCTGGTGTCTTCAGCTCCCCACATTCATATTGCTTGAATTTATTGTCTGACTGTGTTTATAGGAGCAACAGTAGCTGAAAATTCTGCCCCTTGTTAGTACAGAAGAATCAAATACTCTGTGAAGAAGTTGACACCGTTTCAGAATGTGGCATCCAATCAGGGATGCTCCTTTTTCAGTTTAGTGTGCAGCAGCAGATATTACAGTGGTTTGTGGGTGATTTTTCCTCATACAATTTTTAATAAGCTGAAAAACATTACTATTTTTTCAGATTTTTTCCTGTCCTTCCCTAAAAATGTCCAAGGTAAGAATAACATTTCTGTCTTTCAATGTAACAATGTGGAACACATTTTTTGTTTTTAAATATTAATCTTCAATGACAAATTGTGCAACTTGCTTCTGTTTGATGGTGAAGGGTATTCTAAATTTACTGTCTATAGGAGACATGATATTGAAAGATGAGTGATGTAAAACATAGATTAAAGTAGTTTCATGCAAGTATAAATCTCTGCAGTTAACTAACAGTTTTGGAAGGATTTAATTTTGGTCAGAGTTGTGTAAAAGCTCCCTGGTGCATCTTCATTGAAACTTCTTTTCTGCAATTTTGTTTAGAGCAGGCATCATTTAAGAAAATGGTTTAGATTTCTTTTCTTTCTTTACTAATAGAATCAACTGGCTTTCCAATAAAATCCTTCATTTAAAATATTGTAACCTAAAACATTATTGTCATGCTGGGATTCATTTAATTCTTGGTCCCGAGCATTGGATATGATGGGTAAAACATCCATTTTGGCTTATTGGAGTGAAATGAATGCGAAAGGGGGCTTGAGTAATGTGTTTGAAGAGGGAAGTAAGACATGTAAAGATTTCTCTGCTATATCTGTAGCAATGAGCGTTCTAAACCCTATTGAAAATGTAAATTCCCCTTCCCCACACTTGAAGACGGCTCTCTGAAGAGCACTTCCAGCAGCTGGCTGTCACTTCACAAGTTGCTCAGGGATTTTCTTTGGATGTGCTAAAAATGGATCAGAAATGGTAATCTCTTTATTCAAGTCCATAGAATACGATGTTATTTTAACTGTGTGTAAAGACTGTTCAAAAAGTGATTAGTGCCCACAATTCATATTTTGTCATACTTTGAAAAATAATTATTTGGGATTTTATTTCTGTTTTACTTAAGGTGATCTTGTCTGGATAACTGAACAAGCGAAGCTTTGTTTTTTAAGCTCTAGGCCAATGTAGTTGTTCTGCATTTCTTTGTGAAACTGTTGAGTAGTAGGAACCTCTGAGTAGTTTCCTCTCTGTCACATAGCTTCAAACCTTTCGAGCTAAGTGAGGAAATCAGTTATACAAACTAGTAAGTCTTGAGTGGTTGCTTACTATGTCTTATTTTATTTTTATTTTATTTCATTTTTAGCAACAGCCTGCTCAGTTTACCAATCCAGAAACTCCCGGCTATGTTGGATTTGCAAACCTTCCCAATCAGGTTCACCGAAAGTCTGTGAAAAAGGGGTTTGAATTTACTCTTATGGTGGTTGGTAAGGAAGTTTTATAGTTTTTCTCATAATTAGTACTTGCTCACAGGGAATTTGAAGTTAAAATGAATGTTACTTGCACTATTCTTAGGCTTCAGCTTGCAGCAGAAATTTTCCTGTACTGTTGCATTTGACTTTCTTTTATATTTTGTTCATTCTTCCAGCAGTTGTTTACCACATTACAAACCATGCTTGAATACATTAATAAGTTTGTGGGTGAAGAAATTTTATTGTGCACTTCAGCAGTCTTTCCTTCCTTCCTTTCTTCTCCCCTGTCTTACAGGATTCCAGCACTCCATTTAAAATGTAGTTTAAAATTGGTTTTGCATTTGAATGCAGTCTTAGTTCAGTTGTGTGTTTTGATTAAGAGACCAGTATTAAGGAGACCATTCTATTTAAAATGTTGCTTACACTTCTTTAGTTCAAAAGAATCTGAACTCCAGTCTTTTCAACCCTTCCAAAGACTCTTGTAAAAGAGTGAGAAAGGCTGAGAATTGGACCAGTTGGTTTTGATGTGAGGTATTACTTCTTACTTTGATCATGATTATATGTTAGCAGTTGTAATCTAAAGTGTTATTCTATTTGATAATTCACGGGGAGTCTGTGTAGGTATCTGGAATGGAAAGAAAAGTCTAGTGTCTGCACAAGAAATGCCTTGATCCTTTGAGAAATCTTTTAAGTGGACTCCCAAATCAGGCTTGGGTGTCTTCTCTGTCTCTCTGTGAGCCATAAATTGTGAGTTTTGGAGTTTGTAATTCTTGCTTTTAAATAGGCTTTCTCAAAAAGTGAATAATAGAATAAGGCTCTTCATTACCTGGCACCACAAGAAATAAATCCCATTTGTGTGCTAGATTTGCCTAAGAGAGATCACAGTGAGAACAAGCAGGAGAGGTGAGATAGTGCATGATAGGAGGTGTTTAATTTCCTAATTGTTTTGGATTTCAGTAGTTACAGGGAGAGTCTATCCTCAAAGCTTTCATTAGTTTTGCCAAATGACAGCCCTAGCACTGATTTTGTCCTACTTCTGTATTTTGTTCTTCAGTGTTGTACAGTTTGCCCTTATCTTTGTCTTCCTAGAATTTTATTATGGTTTTTTACTGTATCTTTAATTTGATTTGATTTGGATGATACCATAAAGGATATCTCATAAAATCTAAGAGGAAAACCAAACTATAAGTAGCTGCTTCAAATTATGCTGTTAACTTTAACTCCTCAGAATTTACTATTCAGTGATTATTGGTGTAAATAAACACACTCATAGTGAGAGACTTCTCCAGGGTCAGGCTGTTCAGGTATAAGCAGTTTATTATTTAGGTAGAGGGTGGAAGAGATCTGTTTATGCTGCCAGCCACAGCGTAAACATGCTCAGAGAGGGAGAGAGAGAGTGGAGAGATGGGTTGGAGAGCATGAGGGCTGAAGGTAATTAAGGGGGTAGAGAGAGAGGGGCAAGGGGGGTGAAAGAGCAGGGAGTAAGAGAAGGAAGTTAATAGAGGGGAAGAGAGCAAGTTAAGAGAGCAGAGGAAGTTAAGAGAGGAGTGGGTAAGAGCAGAGTGGAGAAGTTAAGAGACGAGCCTAAGAGAGAGTAAGAGATGAGTGAGTCAGAGGGTAGGAGCAGGTAAAATACAGTAAGTTAAGAGAGCGAAGTTCTTTTTACAATACATTGTATCTTCTTCTATAGTGAATATTCTAATTCCTAGTGACTAATCAGTATACTACGCACGTCCTATAGAATTTACATGTAGCCTTTAAGAACTACCACATTACCATACAGTGTTACATTTTAAACTCTAAAAGCTACTTTTCAAATTCTTCTCTTGCTGCTTGACCTTTGGATTCACTATCAGCAGAAGGGTATTGTTTCATCAACAGGGATTCTCTTTCAGCTGGCTAGGCTATTGTTCTTTGTTTATATAGTAACTAGCACTCAGTATCCTATAGCTTAAAGCTAGTTTTCAATTCTATTTTGATCCTAGGTTTCATATTTTCAGAATCTTTTGCTAAACAATCATATTCATAAGGTTTTCCTGTTTCATCTTCCCCAACAAGTGATCCTGAAAGTGTGAACAGTTTTGAGAAATAAAAGGTGTGCTTTCTTTTCTTTTTTTTTTTTCTTTTTAGCTGTAACTAAACTTATCTTCCAGATCTCTTTGAATTCTAATTGTAAATAGTGCCACATAAAACAGTTCTGGAAGAAAGCAATGTAAAATTATTTAGACCAACAGTTGTTTCTAGCTTCTTGTAAAATAGAAATAGAGGGGAAATTACATGGTGTAAGACTAACAGAAAGGCAATTAATCCACCCATGCTGGAGTAAAGTGGAACTTTATGGTTGCTGCCTGTCAGTATTTTAAGAGATAAATGAAAACTACAGGAAGAGGACATGGAAAAAAATAATTTCATTGAAAATTTGGAGTAGTATTTTAAGATACACTAGCAGGGGGAAGCAGCTGATGTAAGATAAAATAAACTGTGCTTTAAATTGTTGATTATTTCAACAGTTTGGAATGTGAATTCATTCTCTTCAAATATGCACGGAGTTTATGTTCTCTCATGGGCTGTGTCACAGTGCCTGTTTTGAACTATCATTCTTCATTAAGTTGCCATCCTTCTTCATTTCTGAGCAGGATAATACTTTAAAAGCTGCTTGTGCTGACAGAATCCTAATCAATGATTTTGCTTTTTCACACAGCTTTTGGTTATTTTTTTTTCCTGCTATTGTTTACTGTGGTATCTGAAAATATGAGCTGAAGTTTATAAGAATTTGGCTGCTTGGCTGTGTTGCTCCTAAATAAATCCCAGTCACTTATATTTATTTTTATGTTCATTCTCATTATTAAGTTATGACTTAATCTAAATTGTTATTTCAGTTGAGTCATTAAACTGCTGTAGCCAATATAATCATTGACAGTGACTATGGAAGCTGATTTGGTTTATGTGTAATATTTACTCATACTGAAACCGTGGAATGTGGTACTGGATGAAATCAAACTTTTTTGGTTTTGCTGAAATGATTCCATGTGACTGTTGAGTTATTCTGGGTGCGTGTCATCTTCACTGGTGAAGGCTGCACTGGCACAATCTGATATTGAAAGCTGCATTTTATAGGGCATTAAAAACTGGCAGCTCCTAGTCAAATCTTCATTTTAAAACAATTTTCATCCTTTTATTTTCTTTTGTTCAGATGTTTTTGTCATATTTGTATTGCAGAATAGTCTGTGTTGCTCAGAGATTCTGTGGTCCATCATTTTTTGACATCTAATTTTTTAATTTAATTCTATCAACACCTGAAATAAAACTAAAATTCTAGAAAAAGATCTCTTTAGTGAACTCAAGTACTGAGCATTTCAAGTTGCTGCTCTTTTTTATGCTATGAACATTTGTTCTGATTAAAATCTTGATCTTTAAGTGATTAGCTGACGTCTGAATTTTCCACATGGCCATCAGTATCTCTAGAACAAAAATATATTTACAGTACAATTTGGTGATCTCCAAGTTCATCAGTATAAAATAATTGCTCAGTGGCCATACTACTCTTGCTTTGAGTTCTTGTTTGCCATATTGGCATAAAAACCAGAAATAAATCCCACTTTATGATGCCTGCCTGTACAGAAGGTCAGTAATGCATTTTTCATTGTTTAAATCGATGATAAAGCCTTGACTGGATCAAGGATTTCTCACTGGGCATATTTCACATTCTGGAGCCATAACAGAAAACCATGTCTTAAAAAAAAAAGAGACATGAAATGGGAAATCTTAAGTCTAAACAGGTCACAACTCCACTTGACTAGAAGCATTAATTACACATCATCTGTGAAAGCTCTGGGAAAGTGCATTACAAAGCCAAGATCTAAAAAATTTTTTCAACCTTTTTGTGCAAACTTAGCTAATCCAAAATAAAAAATTGTAGATTTTTAATTTGAAAGAAATATGAAAAAAATATGTAGTCACATAATACCATCAGATACTCTTGAAATTATTTATGTAAATATGTTGAATTTATCTTTATATTGAATCACAGGTGAATCTGGATTAGGAAAATCTACATTAATAAACAGCCTCTTCCTGACAGATCTCTACCCAGAAAGGATAATCCCAGGAGCTGCTGGTAAATACATCTTTATTCAATGGTTTTTGGACTAGAATGCTTTTATCTTTGAATTTTGGTAACAGCCAGCAGTGATTTCTAGCTGTAATAGTTTCTAAGGTATTTCTTGACACTTGAGCTGTTTGATAAAACCATTTTCTCCCTCACCCAGGATGTCTATTGGGTCTTTGTTATTTAGTCCTTGGCTGTATTCATATTAACACCTAGAAGTTTGATCCCTTCTTTTGCTTAAAAACAGTCATTGTGTCATAGTGAGATAAACAATCAACTAAAACAATCAGAGAATTTATTCAGTTTTTAATCTGTTGCAATTAAAAACATATGAATTGTTTATACCTGCTTGTACCTTGATTCATTTGCTTTGGATTGATATTTAGTGGATGAGAATTTCACTTCCTGTTCTTCTTCATTTCCTTGTCCTATTTTTAATCTGTTAACCAAGGTATGCAATAATCCGAAAAAAGAGAATATTGTAATAAAATAAAAGATGCAATTTTTCTCTTTTTGCTACCTGTTGAATGACTTGCTTTAATGGTTTTATCATGTTTGCGGATGATTACTTATAACTTCTAACCCTAGGAAAAAAATCCATTACATATAATTTTGTACTGTTCTCCAGTTACCTATGGTTTTATCTTGTCACCCTGAAAACTAAACCTTCTGATCTTGTTTTCATAGTTTTAGTTACTTTCCCAGGAAAGTAACTATAAACATAAGTTGTTTACACTTTCCTTCTAAGAAACGTCCCTTGATGGATGTTTCACATGACCAGTGTGATTGGGAAGGTGGCAATTTAGTTATCCAATCCTTGGTCATAGTCAAGAATCTATAAATACTGGAGGCAGAAAATAAAGTTACTTCTTTTTCCTGTCACACCACTGAGACGTGTTTGTGTGAATCATTCTGTGTCCTTTAGCGATGTTGTCTTGGTCCCTTTGGCTGCAATTTCTACATTATTTTTAAGAAAAGTATGAAATCTCATACAATCCTCTAATAACAGCTAAATAATTTATTTCTGAGTCTTTTTGTTATCAGGCCTTAGAATGTAATCGACAGAATAATATTTATGATGTTTTATCTGCCAATTCATCTTTGGAGCTTATCTCAGAATGACATGGTCTTGCAAATTGGATTCTGAAAGATGGAGTTTCTTGTCTTTCAGATAAGATTGAACGCACTGTGCAGATTGAAGCCTCAACAGTTGAAATTGAAGAGAGGGGTGTGAAACTGCGCCTGACAGTTGTGGATACTCCAGGATATGGAGATGCCATCAATTGTCGAGACTGGTATGTGCACAGAGAATACCTCTTGATTTATCTGTGGAGACTGACATAGATTTCTTATCTGTCCTGTGGGGGTGGAAATATGGTGTGTGTCTGTGAAATGCTGAATTTGAGGTGGGATTTTTTGTTTTCTAATTCTGAGGAAGCTTAATTTTAGTGTTATGAATTAATTCCAGTACATGTGAAGAGGCATCAATAACTTTGACACAACTTGAAATACATTTTGTGGCACTTTTTTTTTTCTTTTTTAACTTCCATTTTGCTTGAAAGAGCTTTAAGTGAACAGTGACCTTGACTCTTAATAATACTCTGAGAAAGTAAATCACCTACTCTTCAGTGCAAAAATCCACCCCTAGATCTTGTCCACATTCACTTGAGCATTCTCAGATTCTGTGGCTAATTTTTAAGTGCTTTTCATCATCTTAGATTTTGTTTGTTTGCTTGGGTTTGTTTTGTTTTTTTTTAAAATTTACATTGTAGTAAATACTGAGAAGTAATCAGTGGCAATCAGTTTTCAGTGGTATTCCCTTTTCCCACATCTCTCAAGCCCCTGAACCTCAAGGTAAACTCTGGCTTTCCCCAGAACTTTGGAAATCAATGCCTCCTGATAAAGTGAAAATCATGTTCAAGACCAAGTGTCCTGTCCTGGTGAGCCCAAGAGCTACTACATGAACAATCTCCTGTTTCATTTGTTCAAAACCTTGTTGTTCAGAACTTCACCTGAAATAATTTTTCTTCTGGGTCATGATAGGCTTTACAATCTGAATGTACTCTGGAATATGCACCTTACAAAAACCCACAGCACTAGGAAAGCCTGAGCTTCATTCCTGCTGGTCACTGGGGACAGAGCTGATGTTTTGTTGACCACATCCACTGGAGTCTGACGATGCCATTTTACTCCTAAAAACAGAATTTCCCAGGCAGGTCCCTTGACCTTACTTTCTTTTATGGCAAAACCAGCCTTCAGGAAGATCTGGATTATCTTCTCTCCTTGCTCAAAAACTTCCTCTGCCATGTTTTCCCACACATTGATGTCATAAATGTACTGCAAGTGTTCTGAAGCCTTACACTTCAGAAGTAACATTGGCCCTTCTGCTCTGAGTACTTGCCCACTGGAAACTGGAGCTATGTTTATGCTTGAAGAATTTCCTGTGGTGGTTGCACTTCCTCCTCAACTCCTGTACCCATGCTGCTGAGGCAGTGGTGGGTTTTCCATCCCACTTCCTTATGTCTTTTCTCTGGTCACGCAGGTAAAACCACAGGTTACCTTGTGTATATCCTGTCTCTTGAGGATGCTGGTGTTTGTTCACGGTAGCAGAGACTGGCCCATACTGGTGGAGCATGGAATATTTCCTCTCTAGTTTGCTCAAGTTTTTCAAATCTGTTCTTAATCTTGGACAGTCTTTTCACAGCTGAGGTGCAGGTTAGTAAGGAAAAAAACCCTGATATTCACATTGCCAGAGATGTGTCACCTGAAACTCTGTTTGCTCTCCTTCTTTCATTGGCAACAAAGCCAATGAGTTGATGTACAGGAGTGGTGCACTCTGTACAAACTTCTGCCACGTGGATTGTGTACAGTGGACCTCATTTGGATCTACAGGGGACTGATGGTTATTTGGACCCCTATAGATTGCCTCCAGTACAGCTACTTCTGTCAGTAGTGGATACCTTCTTCCATGGCCTTCCACCTGCCTGGTCACACCATTAGATGATCCTTGAGAGAATACCTTTCCCTCACGTTTGACAGAAGTTGCCACCAGAGCTGAGGGTTTCTGTCTTCTTCCCAATCCCCTTGTCAATGCCTACATCCCAGACAGGGATCCCAGTTGCTTGGCTTCCCTATGATCTGGTTCTATATGGGTGAGCCACAATATCCTGGTACCAGAGCAGCCAGGTTGCCAGGATCTCCCCCAAATGGCAGCTGAAATCCTTTCACATATCTTGCAGCTCACCAGCAACTGAGTGATTATCTCTGGTCCTGCCTCTTCCTCCTGCTGTGAGGGCCCTGCTTCCCCTTCATCCTTTGCTAAGCAAACTGATTTGGTCTTGGATTTCTTCCATGTAGGGGCAGCTGTTCATGGCACAAGTTGTGGCAGTGGGTTCAGCTGCAGTTGGAATGGCCATGGTGCCTGTTGCTCTGCTTTCCTCCTCCTTGCCTAAAGGTGCTGTCTAGTGATGAGCAGTGTCCAGTAAATAAAGGCCAGGGCTCAGCACACTGCAATAAGTTGCTCCTCTTTGGAGTTGCCCCCTCCTGTTAATCTGGGCCAGAACCAGGATACTAGAGGACAAAAAGTTGGGTATGAGCAGGCAGTCTCTGGAAGCCATTAGTATCCCAGGCTGCATCAAAAGAAGTGTGGGGGAGAGAGTTCTGCCCCACTCCTGTTCTCCTGTGAGACCTACATCCAGTTCTGGGGCTCTAGGACAAGACAGACATGGAACTATTGGAGCAGGTGCAGAAGAGGATCATGGAAATGATCCAAGGGCTAGAACAGCAGTAAGGAGAGGCTAGGAGAGTTAGGATTCCATCTGAAAAAGGGAAGAGAAGACTCCAAGGAGACCTGACTGAGGCCTTCAAATGGGCTCGCAGGAAACATGGAAAGACACTTAATACCAGGCCCTGTAGTAGCAGAGCAAGGGGCAATGGTTTGAAACTGAGAGTAGAGGTAGGTGTAGCAGAGACTTTTTTACAGTGATGGTGTTGAGGCCCCTGGCATAGGTTGCCCAGAGAAGCTGTGGCTGCCCCATACCTGAATGTGTTCCAGGCCAGACTGACGAGCTTAGAGCACCTTAGACTAATGGAAGGTGTCCCTGCCCAGTATCTTGGAAATAGGTGATCTTTAAAGGTCTCTTCCAATGCACACCATTTATGATTTTAGGTCATTTTGGAACAAGAACCTTAAAATGTCTTGAAAATGTGTGGTTAATGTTAATCAATATATAAACATTACCCCAAGAGAAATTTGTTGTAGAACTGAGGTTGGGTTATGTATATTTTATCTTACTATATATATGCATAAAATATGCATAGTAGTTTGTTATTCTAGAATTCAGTTAAATTTTTAAGATATGTGCTCTTCTATTTTCCCCGTTCTGTAGAATCAGTAAATAAATTTTTGTCCATCATAAGACTGGACCATCAACAGGGTATCTTAGGGGTTTAATATTACCTTTGAGAGTCCTAAAATAGTGGAACATTTGGTGATTCCTCAAATCCATGTTTATTTTACAGTTTTAAGACCATAATCTCTTACATTGATGAGCAGTTTGAGCGATACCTGCATGATGAGAGTGGATTGAACAGAAGGCATATCATAGATAATCGAGTTCATTGCTGTTTCTATTTCATTTCACCATTTGGTCATGGGTAGGTGTTTCTGTCTTTTTTTTTTTTCTTTTTTTTTTTATTTTATTTTAGAGAATTGGTTTGTGCCTGTTGACTTAAATTTTCAGAATCGGGTTGCCACTACTTCAGCAACTGCTATAACTGCTGACATTAATTGGCTGTGTTCTTTCTCTCTGTGTAAAGATAGATATTTATGTTGGAGTGAAAATAAAATGGTAATTTAGAGTAAAAATTTTCCATATCTTAATTTTAGCCTTAAGCCTCTGGATGTTGAGTTTATGAAGGCCATACACAACAAAGTAAATATTGTACCAGTGATTGCAAAAGCTGATACACTTTCTCTGAAAGAGCGAGAGAGACTAAAGAAAAGGGTGAGTGATTTCCTGGCTTGCAGAAATGTGTTGTGCTTTGGCTATGGCAGTATGGTGGCTGTAGAGAGGCATTCTCATTAACCTTACTCTGTCCTAGCTGAGAAAAATATAATCTCATGCACAGTGTAGCATCACTTAATATGTAGTTTGATGTCTTGTAAATTATTTTATGATGTATTTAACTGAGAAATTATCCTTAGAGTGTTGTTTGCAAAATAGCAATCTGGCTACATTTACAATTAGATTATGAGTGAATTTTGAAACTTTGGAAAAATATTTAAATACATTTTCTGATGATAATTGCTCTGTTACTTGTTTCATCAGTCCCAAAGCAGATACAGTATCTGCATATAGAATGAGTATATGTGTATTTGTTTTTTTTTTAACTGGACAGAATTCTAATGGTTAAAAAATGGGATTTTCAGAGATGTTTCTGATTTTGAAGTTGTTTTTCTTCCCCTATGTTACTCCTTCTAAAGTATTCCAGTTCTGTCTTCCAAAGGCAAGACTTTTTAACACATTCAGTTGTGCATTTGCTGGGAGGAGGCGGGATTCAACAAACCATCATGAGCTAATATCAGCTATGAAGTCTAGAAAGAAGTGTTAGAATTAACTTGTCAGAGGCATGCTCCAGTCTTAGCTCTTGCATTGAAAACTTTATGATTTTTGTCAGTTATTCTGAAAATCCTTATAGCTCTCTTACCCGATCAGGGATATATATAGAGTACTCTAATAGGTATGTTTAGAGTGCTAGAATTCTGCAGAAATAAAGATTTTTCTATTTTCAAGAGCAAAATTTGGGGTCTGTAGCAAATGGATTCCTGCTGCAGATACCATTACTGTCATGGAGAAAAAAGTATTTCTTGTGTCTGTATCTCAGTTTTCCAAACACTCCCACCTCTACCCCCAAGTAGTAATTCAGAGATAAGAGCAAGGAGATTCAGCTGTAGAAAATAAGTATGACTTGTGAGTCAATGCTTTTATTATTACAAAAAAAAACCTGCAAAGATTTATCAAAACACAGTTTCCACAAAGGACAAAGTTTTTGTGAACACTGTTTTTTGTTTGTAAGTCTGTGGCAAGTAGTTTTTGTCTATCATGAAGAAATACGGCATTCAAAACCAAATCCTGATTGAGTGATTTGGATCAGTAAGATAAATCCAGATTTCTTTATAGACGTGTATAAAGTAATTTTATGCTAGGATTTAAAAGTACTGATTCTACATGTACATTATATTGATTTCTTTTATTGCATATCTCAGATTCTGGATGAAATAGAAGAGCATGGCATCAAGATTTATCACCTGCCTGATGCTGAATCAGATGAGGATGAAGATTTTAAAGAGCAGACCAGACTCCTGAAGGTGTGACTGGTTTAATAGGTTATATACATGGATAATATATTGTATTTTTTCAGATCACTCAGATGGCTTTAGAACAAAGCCTACAATGCAACCTGGAGTGAGTCACTGTCTCTGCCCAGGCTTCCCTAGCCTGGAAGATGGTGGCAGCAATTACTTTTATTTGTTTTACACCTTTAATTTAAAAAAGTTATGAACTTATTACCACAATATGCATTGCTGAGCAGAAAAAGAGTTGTTCTTGGAGTTGTTTGTCCTGGCTCATTATAAGTAACTTTTGCACTTTTGGCTTTCAGGCCAGCATTCCATTTTGTGTAGTGGGGTCCAATCAGCTCATTGAAGCAAAAGGTAAAAAAGTTAGAGGTCGTCTCTACCCTTGGGGTGTAGTTGAAGTGGAGAATCCAGAGCATAATGACTTCCTGAAGCTGAGGACCATGCTAATGTAAGTTAGAAAATTCCAATTAAATAGTTGTTTAGAAAGCAATCACCAAGATAATCAAGCACTACACTGGGGGCTTGCAGCAGTTGTGTAATCCCTGGGCACATTCAGAATTTGTGTGGGGAAGGCCATGAGCAGTCTTGACCTAGCTGAGCTAGGCCTAGTCAGAGGTTGGACCACACAGGAGTTGGACTATGCAGGACCCATAGGTTCTCTCTGATCTTAATTACTCAGTGAAAATAATGATTTGTCTGATTCTTTTGTCCAATATAGTGTTGCATTGTTACTCAGATCCCCCGGAATATAAAACAGGTTGTTCTTATTTCAATGTATCTATAAGTAGATACACTTGCAAGGGAGCAGACTTGAAAAGCTGGTTGTTTTGGTTGTTTTTTTTCCCTGGTCTTTCTTACTCTGTTTTGCCTCCTCAGCTTCATCAAAGGCCTCGCCCAGGAGTAGAGTTTCTGCCAGGGCAGTCTCAGGGCTGGGTGATCTGTGTCCTTTATCGCACCAATTTAACTGAAATTAGATTTTAAATTATGTATGCTAAGTGGGCATGCATGCTGAGGACATTGATCCAAGACAGTGTCGAATGTGAGAGTTGCTTAAGCAAACTGATGTGACACAAAGATGTTTTATTTTTTAATTACTTTTTTCTTCCTCCAGCACCCATATGCAAGACCTTCAGGAGGTGACGCAGGATCTTCACTATGAGAACTTCCGCTCTGAGAGGCTCAAACGAGGCAACAGGTTGTCATCTCATGGTTACAAGCTGCTTCTCCCTCTTCTGAATTTGTATTTTGCTCTCTCTGTGTCTACCATTGCATTGCTAGGATTTGGTAGACCAAGGGCAGCTCTGTAACTCCAGTCAATATGATTCTACTGACCAGTTTACAAAGAGTGTAACAAAAAATATTTGGTAAATCTGAAGAGACAGTTGTGGAGTCAGGGAGTTGGGGAATAGATCTGTGCTTTTGTCTGAGGCTTAAACAAAGTTGGATTGGAATGTTGAAGGTATTAAAGTAGGACAGATGCCTGTGATAAATGTCTTAAAAATATGAAAATTAGATCAGAGCAGATATCTTAAAAAGAGTGTGGGTTTTTTTTCAGAATTAACAGCTGGAATATTTGGATTGGGCCTTTAAAAAGAGATGATTGAATTTTTTTGCAATGCTTTATTAAACATGACATACATAAATAGTAGCAGTCACAGGGTAATGGCTGTTAGCCCTGTTTTGAGCTGGGCTGGAGAGGGCATAGCTTTTCTGGAAAGAGAACTGGGCAAAACACCCCATTTTTAAGTACAATAGCAAGGTCTGTAAAGATGAATTGGTGAGTTGTGGGAAACTGTGTTCCCTGGTTTAGGTGTTCCAGCTGCATCTCTTCTTATAGCCACTAGAGGGTTCCAAATTGCACAGTTTGGGGGCTTTAGGGCATTTTGCAAGTTTCCCCATCTTGCTGTTGACAGAGATTTTGTCACATGTCTAGTCAGTTTTCAGCAAAAGGTGTTTTCCTTTTGCAGTTTCATGCCTGTAGCATTGGCCTACAGGCAACACAAAATGCTCTTCTCTCCTGACTTTAAATCCTGCTTTCTGAAATTCAAGGTAAAAGTCCCCAAACTTCCCAAGTTCTGGAGCCTCTTATCCAACAGGTGTGTACAAAGGCCTTAGAAGTAATGTGACTTAAGGTCATCCAATTCTTAGAGGATTTCAAGTTGCTGTTAAATTTGGTATGTGAAACTAAAACATCTTTTTGTATCTTTTCTAGTTCAGTGGCCCATATATCTTTGCTTTCACATTTCTGAAGTGGTGCTGGAATGTAGTTAGGTTTACTGTGAGGGTAGATTTCATATGAATTTATTTCAAGAAGCTTGCACTTCTGCTACCAGGAGTGCTTGACAATAGATGCTTGTTGACTGTACTCACTAAGGATCTCAGAGGTTTTGAAGCACAGCAGATTTTTTTACAATGTATTTCTCTGTTAACTTTTAAACAAACACCAGTTTGTTTGCTTTGCATATTTGATGGCACTTGCTTGATTAGATCCATTTGTAGATCTTCCCTGTTGTGACATGGAGTAGGAGAAAGGCATTAGCAAAGTGGTAGGAAATCTTGAATAAAGCCAGGTGGGAGGCAGTGGCTTCTCCCAAGTAACAAATGATGTGATAACAGGAAATGGCCTCAAGTTGCACCAGTGAGGTTTAGATTGAATATTAGGAGAAATTTCTTCACAGAAAGAGTGTTTGAGCACTGACACAGGCTGCCCAAGGGCTGCCATCCCTAGAAGTGTTCAAACTGCTTGTGGATGTGGCACTGGAGGACATGGTTTAGTGGTGAACACAATGCTGGGTTAAAGCTTGGACTCAGCATCTTAGGAGGTTTTTCCAACCTTAATGATTTTATCTTTCTAACAAAATTAATATTATTTTAGGAAAATAGAAGATGAAGAAGTAAATAAAGACAAGATTTTGCTTGAGAAGGAAGCAGAAGTAAGATGACAGAACTTTATATTCTTGGGGGAGTTTTTGTTCTTTTGTTGCTACTTTAGAGCAAATATGTATATGATCTTGGTAATTCATAAAGGAAATCCAGTTATATGCCAATATAAAGTTACTTAAGAAAATAAGAATGAGAAGAGGTGAGAGGAGACTCAGGATAGGATAGGGATTTTTTGGAACACGTGGAATCTGGTAAAACATGATTCCACTATAGTGATCAGCAATGGATGTAACACACACTGTGTGGGCAAGGAGAACCACCCTCATGGGAGTAAGGGTTCTGCAGTTAATAACTGCAGATTGGGACAAAGTCAGTTCAGCTCTGCAGCAGAAGAGGGAACAATGGTAGAAATGGTCAGAAATAAAAAATTAAATGGAAAATCTCATTCTGCCACCATGACAAATTCATAATGCGTGGCTCTAATGCTGCTTTTCTTGTTCCTCAAACCTATAAAGGTTATAGATAGGCAAGACTAGAAAAAGTGCAATGAAATTATGCTTGTGTCTCAGTGGATGGTTTGCCTGTAATACTTGCTTCCACCTAGTCATACCTAGCCAGGGAGCTGGGGAATAATCCTGACAATTTTTTTTTATGACAGATACAGGAGTAGTTTGGAGGGACATTACCAGGCTGCTTTTTTTCTGATAAACTTTAGTAAGTGTAAATGCTTGTTCAGTACTTCAGAACCATAATTTTTATACATTTAACATCAGAGAATTCCATTTAGGGACCCTTAGAAGTCCCATCCCACAGTACAATAGTAAAGCCTATTTATTTCATTCAGTAAATGCCAGCCTCTTCAGTGATGAAATGCAATAAAAGAAGATGCCATAACCTGAGATCGTTACCTGTCAGATAAAGAAAATGCAGATATGTGATCCCTCTTTAATAAAAATAAATATTAGAGTAGTGACAGTGAAGAATTATATTCTGAAGTGAGATTAAGCTACAGAATTCATCTGTGCTGCTTTTCCAGCTCCGTCGCATGCAGGAGATGATTGCAAGAATGCAGGCCCAGATGCAGATGCAGATGCAAAGTGGAGAAGGTGACAGCACTGCAGTTCATGGGCACCATGTGTAAAGTCTTGGGTAAGATGCTTAAATAGACGTTTAAAGGGTTTCTCCTTTAGCTGCTCTCTAATGTGCTTGGTATTAAGGAGTTTTAGGAAAATGTTTACACATGGTGTTCCATAGGTTTCAGTTTTAATTTTAATTTATAAGGATTAACTGCTGTTTGCAAAGTTAAATGGCTTGCAGTCAAATTAAACAATGTGGTGGTGTGTGTGTGTATATGTGAAAAATTTTCAGAAAGGTGATCAATATATACAGGTAAGAATGATGGAAGAAGTCTTTGAAATAATTTAAACAGGTATCTTAATCCCATGATGAAGTCATTGCTTCCTTGTGACTTATGAAATGTCTGCAGTTCTTTCAGGTTTCTTAATGTGGGAAGTGCTGATCTGAAATGGTATTCTCCTGTCTTGTTTTTAGATTATTTTATCCCCTGACTCGCAGGAGACCTTTTGGAGCTGGATTGCAGTGGTGGAGGCAGAAAGGATGCCTCCATGTGGTCTGGAGCTTGCTGTAGAGTTTAATGTGGGACTGTTTTGTGGTAACATCTTGTGAGATGTATTTCATAACATGTAGTCAGTTGGTGTTTTTATATATTATACACATTTGACTTTTGTTTTCTTTAGTCCTTCTTATCTTTTAAATTTCGTATTAGGGATACAAAATAGTAATTGAAAATTTTCTAGCCTGATAAGCATTAGATAATAATATTTTTTTAATATACCTTATTAGCTCACTGCTTTTAACTTTGTATTCTATTAAGAAATAAAAAGCTGTCAGTGATTCCTTGTTCAGTGCCAGTCACCTCATTAAGGCTGCACCCCTGCAAGGTTAATTTTATAAATATAGCAGTGTTTACATGTGTGTGGAGACCAGCAGCCCTTTCTGCTCACAGCAGAGGATTTCCTTGGCCTCTGCAAAATATCAAATGAAAATTAAAGCATGCCTTGTGTCTTAGTGAAAGAAAGAAGAGGAAATGCCTCTGTGAGAGGCACGCTGTACATGACAGGCATTGTTTATTTTGGATTTAACCTTGGGGGTTATTATTTTCCTGAATCTTTTACTCTATTGCAGCTAATTTTGAATAGTTTCTTGTAGGCCATCACAAATTACTCCTGCTATTTTCTGGCATTATTGTAGCCAAATAAACTTGAATAAGGCTGATTTTATTGAATGAGGTAAACTCCAAAGAGTAGTTTTCTATGCATAGATGTTTCCTATATTCAAATTATAATAAATTCTATAATTTCTAGTAAGTATTTCCATACTATTTTTAGGGCATTGAAAAGTGTTACATGTAGTAAATATATATATATTGGTACACTTCTCTTTTTAAAAGTGACCTGTTCCTGACAGGATCAATGTGAACTGTGTTTTAAGTTCTTTCTCCAGAACAGAGTCAGCAGTATTACTTCAGGAATGACTCTGGTTTATTTTATTAGGACAAGGTCACTTTCTTAATCCTGGTAGCAAAGGAGACTGTTTTTCGCTTGGCTGGACTGGTCCTGCAGATCATGCCTCATGTTGTGTTTGCATCAAATAATAAATGCAGCACACAACTGCCCAGGTGGTGTCTGACAGGGCAAGCAGTGACACACCCTGGGTTGTCTGCTGCTCCTGATAAAGCCAGCAATCAGATTTCTTCATCTGATCTATCACAAAACATCCTTATCTGAGCAGCTAATAAACAGATAGGTAGAATTGCAACTTCTTTTGGCTCTTTGAGCTCAGGTGCTGCTGTGACTTTTATAATTTTGTTCATATTTCTTTGAAAAAAACAATAGAATTTCTACAGCTAATGTATAATTCCAGTGGTACTTCACTAGCTAAATTAAATATAAACCTGTTAATCAACTGAAATTTTTACCTGCCTGAAACTACTGTCTTATTTGAATTTTTTTCAAAATGTGAAGTAAAACCCTGCATTGTATCCTTTGCTGAGGAGCTCCAGCTCTTTTCAAAAGCATGTACAATCAAAGTTTGCCACGACTCATTTGACCTTCCCTAACTTTGACAAAAGTAAAAATGAGAACCCTTTTGTATGCACAGAAGAGTTAAATCCCATTTTGTCAAATCTCTACATATAAAACTCGGATGGAAGAACATGTGCTTCTAAATCCTTGAGATGCGTTTTCAAAAGAAAGTATAGGACCAAAGTAATGTAGTAGAGCTGTCAGAACATTCCCCAACACCTTATTTATTTCTATTACCATGAGCCTGTACTTGAAGAAAAACTGTGAAATGTAAAATGTCTACACAGGGGCCTGGTTGTACTTGTCACTCATGCTGCGTATATTGGGTTGATAGGGTTTTTTTCCTGTATTTTTAGCATGGGAACAAGAGCAGATTGTCCATTTGATTAGTGCTGTTTGGTCACCATCTGTGAAATTATTTCAGACAATGTGTGATTCTTTGGAATATTTACATATCTATTAAAATATTTGTTTAAGATAAAGCATTTCATGTGATTCTTAAGCAAAAATTAGTTGATCTAAAAATTCAGCAGGAGAAATATTTTTGTATGCTGTTTTGGTATTTAATGGGAAAAAACAAGTTTATGGCACTGGCCTTTTTAGCTGCAATACTCAGGACAGGTAATTAATTACTGCTTCTTTCCCAAGCCTTTGGGGCAATTGTTCATAGTGTGCCTGATGTCTCTGAAAGTCTATTTCCCCTTCACTTTTCTTGGGATGGTCTTGAAATTTATGGTTTTGTGCTAAGGCATGAAAAGCCAAGACTACTTTTCTCAAAAACGCTGCTGGTAAAAGGAAGATATGAGTAACCAGAAAGACCTGGAGACAAAAGGTAGATTCTGTTTGGTGGCTTGCTGAACTGGCCACAGTTTTTTTTTTTTTTTTTTTTTTTTTTTTTTGTTACTGTGTTGTGAAGGTTTTTATTTTAGGAGTAAAAGTACTTTTGAATTTGCAGAGCTTTATAGTTGATAGCAAAAATTACTTGTTCTTGGTACAAAAACCTATTATAATCTATGTACTACAATTAGCCAAAACTGTAATAAAAATTGCTAAAAAGCTATTTTGTGTTTATTATGCTTCATTATTATATTCAATATTAATTTGTGGTAATATGTTTGAAAATTTGGTAATATGTTCCAGCCAGGACAGGGTTAATTTTTGCAGCAGACAAAAGGACAGGGTTGGTGTGGCAGTGAATGGGATTAGGCTCCATGGGTAAGCATTTTTCCATGTGAAGAACTCTCTCTTTTGTATAATTTCTGTTATTTAACATGGTTGCTGTTTACCAGTCCTTTTCATATCTCATTGCTGTTTCCAGTAAATTGTTCTTACAACATTTTGTGCTTCCAGTTCTCTTCTCTATACTGATGCAGAAAAGAGAGAGAGGAAGAGGGAGTGAGTGATTGGCAGCCTGGTTTGAAGTTTCCGTGGGAACAGCTAAATTGTGGAAAAACATTCCTAAACCAGGACTGCCTTAATTCAGCCGCAGTGTGGGGGCACAAAGGGGTGAGATAACCACAGATCTGCCCAGAGCAGGTTAGAAACAGGTTTGATCCAAGCATTTTCTATATTCGGTCACAATGTTACTTGGACTGTTCATGTGGGTGTGGACCCTAGCTGTATATATTGCCATACATGCTCCTTATGGGGAGTTTTTTCAGAGCAAGGAGAGCAATCAGGATTGTTGCTGTATTATGGGACACCAGTTTATGACAACACTGAGGGCAGTGAGGGCCTCTTGGTGACTATTCAGTATTGCTATCCAGGGAGAACAGGGAAGGATGATTTTCCCCAGCTTTTCACCCCTTCTTCCTCCCTCAGGCCTGTTACAAGAGCTTTTGAGAGTTTTGAATTCCCTTTGTAAGTTAAGGAAAGCGTGTTCTTGTTGCTGTCTGCCAGGCCTACTCAGTGGGCTCCATACCACGTTGAGAGTTGGGACGGATTTCTAGGGAGGTCATTCAGAGATTCGCTCCCAAGGGTGAATAGACATGCAAAACATGGGAGAAAATGGGCCAGGTTTTGGGGAAATTCTCTGATGTTTAGAAGTTCACCTCTAAAGTACAGGACCCTGTGTCATGATCCGCAAGGTGGGATTCGTGATGTGGTTCTTTTAGTTAGTCTTAGAGTACAAAAGATTATCAGCAAACCAAGGACTTAAACAGCAAAACACACTTTACTGAGTGCTCATCAGCACTAAAATGCGATAGAGGGAAAAGAGGAGAAAGCAAAGCATAAGGAAAAGAGAGTAAGGGGATTATAGCTACCAACGTCGAAGTCCACTCAGCTGTCCAACGATGCAGAGCCTTCTGTCTGTTGGGGAGATCTCCAAGGCAGGTAAGTTTGGGGTATAATTTTATAGTCTTTCGCAAAGCGAGGGGCGCAGAGCCAAAACCAGATGAGATTGGTGATCATTGTGATGAATTCCATTGTGTGGGGAGCAGGTGTAGGGTACAGAGCAATCCATGTCTTGCAAGTCTTTGCTCACCAGCAGGAACGAGAGCAAGGTGTCGTGGAAAACCCATTGCACAGGGTACCACGCACAAGCCTCTGCTCACCAGCAGGAACGAGAGCAGTGTACCGTGCAACCACCTGCAAACAATCACTTGGCAAACATCCATCTCAGCTAGGCCCAAACCCCCAAACCAAGTCCCTTGTGATATTCAGGGTCTCAGTCTCTGTCCTTGAGACGGTTGTGAGACAGATGAGGGAATTTTCGGACCGTCTCTTACATCTGGGCAGCTGGATTTGCTGATAATGCTTTTGCCTCCACCATTGTACTGACTGTTGTTACCACATATCCAGCGTATCTGGTCCCGTTCTCCACCAAGCTGCTTCCATCTGTGAATAGCTCTCACTCTGCTTGCTCCAGTGGGATGTCTCTCAGGTCTTCTCTTGCCAAATAGGTGTCCTCTATTCCTTCTACACAGTCATGCTCTAATGGGCCTTCTTCAGTTGTGGTACCTAGGAACAGAGCTGGATTCAAGAGGTCAGTTGTCTTTAGTGTGACATCATCCTGCTCAGTCAGGATTACCTGGAATTTCATCATCCTGCTTGGAGATAGCCAATGGCCCCTCTTTTGTTCTAGAACAGTGCTCACCATGTGTGGCACATAGACATCTATGTGTCTCCCCATCGTGAGTTTCCTGGCTTCTTGTGTCAGCATCACGCTGGCTGCAACTGCCCGCAGGCATGAAGGCCATCCAGCACTCACCTTGTCAAGCTGTTTGGAAAAGCAGTCCACCGGCCTTTTCCAGCTTCCCAAACCTTGGGTCAGCACTCCCAGTGCTGGGTGTGATCTTTCATGCACAAACAGGTGAAAATCTTTGGACAAATCTGGCAATCCTAACGCCGGAGCAGTTGTCAATGCCTCCTTCAGTTTGAGGAAGGCCTCCTTCTGTGGTTTGCCCCAGGTAAACAGCTGCGTCTTGTGGGCTTCATACAGGGGTTCTGCAATTAGTCCATAGTCCATGATCCACGGCCCCACCCTGTCATCTCAAGGAAAACTTGTAGCTCATGTAGGTTCTGGGGTTCTGGAATAGCACAAATAGCTTGAATACAATTAGTACCCAGCTTACATTGCCCTTGTGAGATTTCACATCCCAGGTAAATCACAGTCTGCCTGGCTATTTGTGCCTTTTCTTTAGACACCTTATATCTTCCCATTCCCAGCTGATTTAAAATTTCAATTTATGCAGGTTATTTTCTCTTCTGTAGCTATCAGTACATCATCAACATACTGTAACAGCAGGTATTGTTCTCTCAGTACTCGCCCATTCTTGGTCAAAATCTCCAGCTCCTTCCCCAGCTGACTTCCAAATAGGGTTGGACTGTTCTTGTATCCTTGTGGGAGTCGTGTCCAGGTGAGCTGAGTTTTCCTTCCATTTTCTGGACTTTCTCATTCAAAGGCAAACAGTTTCCTACTTTCTTTGTCAAGGGGTATGCAGAAAAAGACATCTTTTAAATCAACTACCTTAAGCCATTTACATTTCTCTTTTATGGATGTTAACAGTGTGCAAGGATTAGCTACCAATGGGTAAATATCTTTAGTTATTCCATTTATTGCTCTCAAATCCTGTACTAGTCTGTATTGGTCAGCACAGAAATTTGGGCTCTAGTGTTCACTACAGAAGTAATAGGTGCACGTTTAGGACCCACTATTGCTGTAATCAGTACGTCTCCAGTTTTGTTATTTCTAGTGAGCATTTTAAATACAACCAACCTCTGCCTCTCTGCTCACCCCTGAGAGGCAGAGTTACCAGTTTCCCTGGTTCTGAGGCTGTTTGGGCTCCACTCCCAGAAGCTGAGAAGGAGACTGCTTTGGCTCACAGCCCAGAGCCTGTGGAGCTGTGCTGGGTTATCCAATGGGGCATTGGATACAGTGAACCTGGGACAGTGCCAGTTAGAGACTGCTTTACTCAACTTTTAAGTGATAAGCCACCCATTACGTTTCTGGGGACCCCTTTCTTTATCTCTAGTGACCACTAATACTGGTGGTTAGAGATTTGTTTTCTCTTTTTTTTGGGCTTTCATTATGAGAACCAATGTATCTAACACCCTTTGCTTTCTCTGATTTTTTTTTCCTTCTGGGATTTTTACAAGTCTGCGAAAAAACATAAAAGGAGAGATGCTTCTCAGAGGAACATGGCAAAAAGACAGAAAAGCCCTGGGCCCAAAGCTGCGGTGAGTAAATTTCTCTTTGGACATCAGGCAGAACCACTGGGCCAATGTTTCAAGCGCCACTGCGAAGAAAGGTGTGTTATGGAGCCATTTGGACTTCATGTTTGCTTTTACAGGACAAATCACGCTCAAATATGGTACCCGAGCTGCATTTCTGCCTTTCAGAGGTCATTCTCAGTGAACAACGCCTGGCTAGCAGACAACTGTTCGGTCCACTTCTGAAAACATGCCATACCCCAAGTGAAGAGCCAGATCCTTACAAGACTGAGGTCCGTGTCATTTGTTTGGTAGTATCATGAGAGTCAGCTTCTCTTAGGAATTTTAACTATATCAAGCACTCCAATTCATGTCCCATTTTCCTGTGACTGAACCTTAACACTTTCGTAAAACATTTATGACAGGTGTCCTGGGGCGACTTTATGATACCGGTATCCCAAATCGCCTGGTTTATGCTATCTATTAAGTTCTGCACCTTTAAGACTGGCTCTGAGAACGAAAGAGAGGAAGAAGAAATGCGCAGTTTGTGTTGAAAGAAAGCATCGCTCCCCCGCATGCTGCTCCTGGACTGTGGGGTCTGCAGCACAGACAGACTGCAAGACAGAGCTTCTCTTTAGCTTTTAGTTACTTTTAGCTAGATGAGACAAGAAAGTTCCCTGGACTTTTTTTTTTCCTTTTTTCTTAGATCTGTGCAAACCTGCTCTAGACTGAAAAACACCCAGACAGAGCCCGAGAACTCAGGCCGGGGCCTCGGCCTCGATACTATCCGGCGCCGAAGGGACCGATAAGAACCTGAGCGAGATGAGCTACACCACATGAAAAAAACTTTTCTTCCTAGATTTGCCATTCCATCGAACACTGAAAAGTTTCATTGTTTAATATTATTCAATTTCTGTTAAATAAACAGCTTTTTCCACTTCTCTCCAAAAAAATCTCTTCTTTTCCAAACCAGCTGAAAAAAGAAGTCGTTTACATTTTGCTTTCCTAGGAGAACCTCATTTAAAAGCTCTCTGCCAAATTTGCCCTAAACTAAGACACAGGAATTATTTTACCATACTACTTTGCCTCGAAACCCATGGGAATATCACTTTTGAAGCCAACGGGGAGGGATTTGGGACAAGAAGGAACACTTTGCGGCATGCTTTTGAAGAAAAAACCCACCTGGAGTGCGGAGGAAGCCCTTTCTTGCCTCGCTTCTCTGCACGCGCAGAGCGCGCCCCGCCCAGCCCCGGGCTGAGCTCTGCGGCAGTGCTGCCGCCTTGTGGGCACAGAGCGGTACTGCAGCTGTGCTCCGAGCCGGAACCGGGCCGGGCGGGACGAGCCGAGCCGAGCCGAGCCGAAGGGGCCGAGCCGTGCCGAGCCGAGCCGTGCCGAGCCGAGCCGAAC